GTATCCTGATGGGGAAAAACCTGCTGAAGTAACTGCTTTTCTAGCATTCCTTTGTCAGTACTTATCTATGCAAACACTTGAAGGCCTCTGCAGTGATTGCCCAAGGAGGTCCAGCTACTGCTCAAGATGGTGGAAGACCTCAGAATCACTCATGTGGTGCTGGTTTTGTAGGAACGCTGAATCAAGTATTGGGGGGCCATGGGAGTTTTCACCCAGATTTTAGAACGTGGTCTGGGAAACCAGGCAGTATGGCTCTATGTGGGAAGTGAGAGAAGCTATGAGAGTGAAACTGAACACTTAGTGAAGACCCCAGGAAGTTGCAGAAGCCAGAAACATGGTATGTCTGAAAGAAGTCACAAGCAGTAAGCAAAGCCATTGCAAAAGAGAGAGACCATGACTGCTACTGTCTGCAGTACCATAGAGGAAGAGCCACCCAATCTTTCTAGAGCTTCCATTTCATCATAACTTGCTCCAGGTTATGGACACAGAGCTAGAGATTTTAACATTTTCCCTGCTGGGTTTTGGTTCCATTCTTTTCTATATACTTATTTCTCCCTTTGAAAAGATAATGTTTATGCTGTACCATTATATGTTATCTGTGTTTAACTTTCTTCTTGATTTTTAGAGTCCTCAAGTTAAGAGTTTCCCTTGTGTGTCAGAGAAGATATTTCTTTGGACATCTCTGCAATGCTGGCCTGCTTAGAAATCTTTTGAGATGGACTGAATGCATTTTTCATGAAGTGATATACATAAATCTTTGAGAGACTACAGGTAAAATATGGATTGGATCTACAATGGCCCCCAAAATGCTCATGGTGGAGATTCTGGAGTGTGACTGCATCATGGGGAGACAATATTCCTCTGGGGGTTCATCTACAGAGGAGTTCAGGAGCTGAGCATGCTTTTGGGGGTAGAGCTTGGGAGGAAGATGTGGGTCTCTGGGGGCATGACCTGGAAGGGTACACTTTCCTCTTCAGTATTACCTTCTCTCTTTGCTTCCAGGTCACCATGATATAGTGAGTTTCCAGCTTTCCTACTTACCAGGCCTTTCCACTGTTCTGCTTCTGCCTTGGATCCAGCTAAGCAGAGACTGTACAAGTGACTCAAAATACTCCACAATGTCCTCTCAATGTTGCATCTGCTTTGGGATGGGTAATGATGGACTGAAACTTCTGAAATTGTGAGGAAAATTAAACCTTTCTTCCTTTAAATTGTGGCTGTCACGTATTTGTCCATTTCTTGGACAAAAAGCTGACCAGTACAACCATTATCAAGTTGGTTTCATTGCAGAGATACCAGGATGATTCACTACATGCAAATCAATAAATGTAATACACCGCACAAATAAAATCAAAGAATGAAAGCCAGATGTTCAACTCAACTGACAGGGAAGTCTGGCAAAATTCAACATCACTTCATGGTAAACATTTTGAAAAAAGTACGTATTAAAGGATTATGTATAATATATAAAAACTATATAGAAAAAACCATAGCAACATCATACACAATATAGAAAACCTTAAAGCATGTACTTTAAAATCAGGGATGAGACAAGGATATCCATTCTCAGCAGTCCTTTTCAATACAGTACTTCAATTTTTAGCCACAGCAATAAGGCAAGAGAAAAAATTTAAGAGGATACAAATAGAAAAGACAGAAGTCAAATTATTATTATATATACACAATGTAGTCCTATATGTAAAGTTCTTAAAGACTGTACTAAAGTATCAGGATACAAAATCAACATTTAAAAATCAGTAGCCACTCTATATGTCAATGGTGAGGAAAACACAGGAAAATTCCATTTACAATAATTCAAATAATACCTAGGAATCTTCCATAGCAAATAATGTAAAATATCTCTAAAATGGAAACTGCAGAATACTGAAAAAAGAAATTTAAGAAGACCATCATCTTCAGAAGAATAGAGAAACCATCTATAGAAGATGGAAAGATCATCTATATATTACCCAAAATGATCTGAAGAGTCATTGCAATGCCCATCGAAATTCCAATAAAATTCTTCACAGAAGTAGAAAAGTATTCCTAAAATTCATATGGAAATATAAAACACTAGGAATATCCAAAGCAATCCAAAACAAAAGTAATGTTGGAAGCATCACGGTACTAAATACTTGATTTCAAATTATACTATACCAAAGTAACAACAACAGCACAGTACTTGCACAAAATAGACATGTAGAGAAATAGAATGGAAGTCACAGAGATAAACCTACACACTGTAGTCATCTGATTTTTGACAAAGGAGCCAAAAACACACAATGGAGAAAAAACAGCTTCTTTAACAAATGGTGCTGGAAGAAGTGTATATCCATATGTAGAAGATTTAAACCAGACCCTGTTTCTCACCCTGTATAAAAAATCAATTCAAGATGGAAATAATACCTAGGCATAAAACGAAATTTTGAAACATGGTAGAACACAAGAAGTCATAAGCATTGGCAAAGACTTCCTGAGGAGGATTCCAACAGCACAGGAAAAAATAGCAAGAATAAACCACCAGGTCTACATCCAATTAACAAGATTCTATACAACAAATGAATCAACAGAGTCAAGAGACACCCTGCGGAATTGGAGAAAATCTTTGCCAGCTACTCTTCCAACTAAGGATTAATATGTAGAATATAGAGGGTGTAGTGGGGGATGGATATGATCCAAATATATTATGCACACTGAAGCAAGTATTTTTAAAATTAAGAGGCACTAAAAAAGCAGTAAAAAACACAAAACTTTTAATGTTTCCTGAAAAAAATAGACCAATCAATAGATGGGTAAATGAACTGAACTGATACCTCAAAAGAAGTACAAATAGTGAGTAAGTATATGAACAGATGTTCAGCATTTTTAGTCATTAGGGAAATGTAAATTAAAACTACCTTGAGATTCTATACTAGTCAGAATGCCAAGCATCAAGAACAACAAAATAAAAATATTGGCAAGAATGTGAGAAAAAAGAAACCCTTCTACCCTCTTGGGAGGCATGTAAATTAGTATATTCACTATGCAAATAGCTTTGGAGTTTCCTCAAAAAACTAACAATAGACCTGCCACATGGCCCAGGTATACCACTCCTTGGTACACAAAGAAAGAAATTCAAGTTGGTATACTATAAGGTTGTGCCCATGTCCATGTTTATTGTGGTATGATCACAATAGTGAGGGTATAGAATTAGACTAGGTGTCCATCAGTGGATAAATGGATAAAGAAAATGTGGTCAATATACACAATGGAGTATTATTCACCAAACAAGGAATGAAATTATGTCATTTGCAGAAAAAATTGATACTAGAGATGACTCTGTTAAGCAGAATAAGCCAGAACCAAAAAGTCACATATTATATGTTCTCTCTAATATATTGTATTTTTAAAAAGAATGTACCAGGGAAACTGTTATTAGGCTAGAAGAAGTAAATAAGGAGGATAGGGGGTGAGCTGCAAATCAGGGTGAAGGCGGATGATATGATTACAATGTGTTGTATGCATATATGAAAATGTCACATGAAAATAAAATACATTAATTTGTACTAATAAAAATGTATTTGAAAAAGAAATATTTTCATCAAGAAAAATATAAATTTAAAAACCTCATAATAAATACATCTTACCAAAAATTTCTTTTAAAGAAATACTTGCAAAGCTTTGAAAATGTTAAGTTCTATGCAACTTTATAGATATTAGATAAAATAATCTTTGAAAACTGAATTTTTTCCTGTTAATACACATGATAGTCACTTCCCAAACTTCACATTTATAAAATATGTGTTAATATATCGGCATATATAAATTTAAAACACACACATTGGCTATCACTATATCCAAATATATTCAAATTAGTTACAAAAATTAGTTATAAAGATATAACACTTACAGAAAACCTCTTTCATTTTACAGTATATAAAAAAGTTGCTGACATGCTCTAAATAAGCTTATAATCTATACATCAAGTCCAAAAAAAACTCAGATGAACTTTATGATTTCATGAGTTTACTATCATGTGGAGCAAGTTAATATAGTTTCCTCTGGGTACTGATGAGGAAAATGTTTTGAGCAGGACCCATCTGCCTTGTAAACCTACGTTTTGCTTCAAAGGGTAAATTTGTTTGAGTTGAGGACTTGAGGATGTGCCTTGAGGATGTTCACCTAGGATGAAGGTTTTCATTTACCTAGAAATCAGACTAATAACAGAGTAGACTTCTCCTAGATCCTATTTTAATCATGCTCCTGTGACTGAACCATTTATAGTTCAGGCTGCTCAGGAACAGGCCCACACATGGAGATTAGTTATCACAAACACAGTGCTTTAAAAACTATAAAATGTTTACTGTGATGAATTCCACTCTAAACCTGAGTCTTCATTTCTATCGTTACCTAAAGTCCAAAGCAACACAAAGCCCTAAGAGTAAAAAAGCACACTGTAACATCAGATGACCTGAAGTCAAAACCTTACGTGGCTTTTCAAAAATTAATCACTGCTTGTGCTTTGCTTTCCATATTCATAAAAAGTAGATCAAAATATCTGCCTTGCATGGTTGTGGAGAATAAACTGCATACCACACTCACAATACCCAGCACACTGCCTCCTGCATAATAGGCACAAAACTTTTGTAGCCAAATTTTGTTTCTTTTCTATTTTATCCCCAAAGAAATTTATCATAAAACACTAAATGTTATACTGTCACAGAATCATCAGTCCTTAATAGACTAAATATTTGTTTCCATCACCAATAAATTTTCTATCAGCATTATGTTTCAATAATTGAGAGAAAAAATATTCAAAGCATTAATTATAAAATGGTTGGAAGAAGTCACTCTACTATGTAATAATGTATTAATTATATTACATCAAGAGAATGTAAAACAAGATTAACAATAAAATGGAAGTTATTTAAATACAGAAATTACAACTTCAGTATCATAAATATAATTACCTTAAGGTAATTAATTATACTAATTATACTTACATGCTACTAATTACTTACATGCTTCCAACGTGCAAGTTTTCCTTTTACATTAGTTTCAGGCCTGCAAAAGATATCCTTAAAGACTTGCTCTTCATTCTCTTTGGTTATATAAATCCATTTTGTTTCATAGTCTCGAGTAATTTTCTCCTGACGTCTTTTACATAAAAACACAAGGCTGAATAAAAGGGGAGGGGAACTTCTTAGATTTTTGCCAAAAAAGTCAAAACTACTGGTGAATGTACATCATCGTACATATTATGGTAATAAATATAACATAATAATATATAAATATAATGTAATAATATATAATATAAAATAAATATAGTACAAAACTACTTTTTCATTTACATTTTAGAAATTATGGCAATAAATAGAATTTAATTATGGTGATAAGTATAATGGAATAATAAATATAATGTAATAATGCATAGTATAATAATATAAATATAATATAATATAATGCAATAATATCTGTCTGTACTTATACATTATAATACTAAAAAGAAACTAAACTTCATTCTACAATACTCATCAAGGGAAAATGAATGCTGAGAAATTTCTTCTGATACAAATCCATTAAGTAATTTTTTTCTGATATCTGGTTATGTATTTTTAAATAGAAAGGCAGGAACCACAAGAATAAATTTTCAATAGGAATATAAGATAATCAGTGGGCTTTTTTTCTCCCCAGTGAAGAAGTAACTTCTTATTGTAGTGTAAGTAATTTCTGCCCTACGAAAAATTATATCTACATTATATCTACTACATTACACAAATACCAAGGATGGTACTCTTGAATAGTAATGCTCAACAGAATATTGTACAAGCCACTAAATAATTTTCACTTCTATATTAATTACACTGAAAAAATAAAAATAAATAGGTAAGATTAATTCAACGTTTTATTTAATGCAATATACCTAAAATATTAACCATATCTACAAACTAACACCATATTTAATGGTAAAATGCTGATCGCTTTCCCCTCTAAGATCAAAGGCCAAAAAAAGGAATATCCCGTCCAACCAAAATTATTCAACACTACAACACTATAATGAAACTTCTTTTTCTACCAATGGAAAGAGCTCAGCAATGTAAGCAAAGAATAATAACATTATAATCATGTCATTATATCAACAAATAAGTGAAGGAAAAAATGTATGATCATACCAATAGAGGCAGAAAAGGCAAATTTAGCAGGCCATCTTTTTTGAACAATCGTTTTAAGAGAAGATCAAAAAACACAACACCAATATCATAGAAATGACTCAACAAAAATCAATAACATCCATTTCATGTGACCAAATAGTAAAACCATTTGAATTAAAATAATGATCCAGGTGGGAAGTTTGTTGTTACAATACTTATTTAATAGCAGAGGTAAAAACAATAATTCAGGAAAACAATCTTCCTATTTCTCAGATGCCTCAAGTTGGCTCTATTTACTCTTTCATTCAAAATATTTGTATAGCCAAGTGCGGGCTAGAATACATTCAACATATGCGTGAAACGACAACATCCCTTGGAAGAGGGAATATATGAACATAAGGGCTCACTATAACCACATGAGCATGTGTTATGGTTTATAACTCCTCAAAGCCTCCTGATCACAGTTGGGCTTCTGGGTGGTGAGTGGATCACAGGGCGCGTCGCTCAGCAGTGGACTGGTCCACGGGTGAGTTTATAGCTAGCCGTGTTGTCTGAGGTGAACCCATTCAAAGGACGTGGTCCACTAGGAGTGTGGCCTGGAAGGATCCTTATCCTTGCTCTCTTTGCAGTCAGGTAGTAAGGCATGAGCAGTAGAGCCTATACGAACTGCTCTTCCTCCTGCGATGGTCAACAGAAGCTGATCTGTGTCAGCTGGATTTTTCTGATGAGAAGTGAGCCAAAATATGAGAAGGTTTCAACCAATGAAAGGGGACCCTAAGTGCAGAGGTAATCACTAACTAACCACGACGCATAACTAGGGACTTTCCACCCAATGGGATACATGCACTGATTGACGCGGGTGTGCTCCAGTACATCTGACCTCATTATCATATGCTTAATGCACCATCCATGTATGCCGCAAATCAGCTTAATTCTTGCAGAATGATGGAAAAACCAGTGTGCAATTCAAAATTAAAAGTAGGGCAAGAGTAACTCTACATACACCGGAGTAGAGCGTGGAACACTTTTCTTTATGGTAAAATAAAAGAAACCAGAGCCAAAGAACTCCTCTTCCCTCACCCTCTCGTGGCGCGCTGGCCTATCTGTTACACGTCCTACTTTGCAACAGCCCTTTGGCTTTGAAACCACTCCCTCGCATGCCTTAATCTAATTTTACAGACTGCTCTACACAGGGAATGCTTTCATACCCATAGAGTTATCAGATTCTTAAAGGAATCTGTGACACCACCGAAATAAACAAATAAACCTACCTGGGAACACATATTAAAACAAGAACGCTCTAAAAATGCAGACGCATAGAAATAAAACTTAATGGGAGAAGAAAGGGCATGTCTTAGAAATCTGAAATGTGTAATTGTAAAGCAAAATCAAGGCAGTATAAATGCAGATATCATTCAACTAAAATAAGCTTAAAATGTGAGTTCTAACCTCTTTTGAAACACAAATAAACTCATAATAAACAAAAAATGCACCTTGAAACCATAAAACAGATGAATTCTCCAAGATAAAGGATTGCCCCACAACAGGAAGCATTTGATATTAAGGAAATTTGGGGGTACAGAGAAGGCTCTGCCCAAGAAATGAGCACATCAGACCCCATGTGGAGTTAATGTTGCTGCCCCACTGAAATTAAAGTCGTATTATTTTGTTCTGTCCTTGTGTAGAAATTTGGGGTGACATATTAAATAAAATTAATATACCTTGAAATTTGAAGACTAAAAGTACAGTATAAGGGCTCATAAATAGTTCTCAAAAATGAGGACATATATTCATCAGATCCAATGATCCTCTCCTCACTAAGCCTGTCAAAGGGCCAGGGAGTAACTTCAGCAAATTTAGAAAAAAGAAAAAAGAAAGAAAGAAAACAAAAGAAAAAGAAATTTCTCTTTTTGGAATTAAGTAACACAATAAATTTTTAGATTAATTAATGAGTTGAAACACTCAGTATGCATATTATTAATAACCAAAACAGTACATTATTTTTAAAAGTTTAAGTCCTAAAAGTTTGAAGTTAATTATGTTGATTTAATAGAAAAGTACAGGGAAGTGAATATCAAAATCAAATGAAGCGTGCATCACTGTAATTTTTCAGTAATAACATAGGTACGTTTAACATGTTTTAAAAATTTACAAAATATGATATGCAAAGAGTTTTAATTTGGATATTAATAAAATTTTAAAGTAGTATGGCTTTATGGTAATATATAATGTACATTATGGTAATACATTGTAAAGTGCCTAACCATGAAAAGCGAAAACGACCTACAATTCAAACAGTTATTAATTTGAAAACACAGCTGCCTTGTTTTATACTTAGTAGTCTTTAGCTCTATTTTTCCAAAACAAAATTATCAGTTACTATGAAGTAACCTCTTTTAGTTCTTTTTTACTGTAAAATAAACACAAATCAAATTATTGAAAAATAATCATTACATACAATAAAATAAAAATTATCATCTTTAGAACATTTGTAACTCGAAAAATTTTAAATAGAATTTGACTGAGAAGTAACATAAAAGATTGCAGTTTTCTAGTAACTTGACTGCGGTTGAAAGTAAAAATGCATATATTTTAAAGCAAGTAGAATATTTTCTATGTAGCTTCGAAATGCTACTTTTAAACTCATTTATCAGTGTGTCTCTTCCATTAAAAACTTAATAAATGTCTAATCCAAAACATATAAAAAAGTTAAGCACATTTTCATAACGTCTTTTTTTGTTTGTTTACTTGAGACAAGGTCTTGCTATGCAGTTCAGGCAGGCCTTGAGCTCACTTTGTAGCCCAGGCTGGTGTCAAACTTGCAATGATCCTCCTGCCTCAGCCTCCCAAGTGGTGGGATTACAGGTGTGCACCACCACACCCAGCCGTAAGGTCTTATTTTATTAATATATTTACAGCAATACTATTATTAGGATAAATAATAGAAAGCATATATTGTACTCATAATATTAATAATGCACAGCATAATTGCAAGTATCAGTAATACAATAATAAGAAACATAATTTGCATAAATATTTGCCTGAAAAATTGTAGGAAGGATTTCTAAAGATATAATAATACATTTGCATAAATATATACATTTTAGGGTTTTACCCAATTTATTTTGATTTTAGAGAAATCAAAAATAGTATAAACATCCAAAAAGAAGAAAAAGCTTACCTAGATAGAGTACACCCTTTCAAAAGAATGCAGGCAGCTATTGAAAATTGTCTTGTGAAATAATGTTCAGAAATACAGAAAATAGAAGCATATCTATCAGAAAATCTTTGCAAAACAAATACACATGTACACACCATATATACATGTATGAGCGAATTTACTTTAAACAAGCATACACATACATAACTACCAATAATTACTATTTTCTCTTTTTTTATTTAATTTTTTATTTTAAAAATTAAGAAAACCAACAAAACAACAATGAAGACAAAATCAAAGCAACACAAAAACAACAAAAACAATACGTGACCTCAAGACAAAATGATAAGAATTAACAATGGTTGCTCCATTATATACTGTTATCTTCAGTAAAGTTGCTCAGTCCACCAGACATAAGAATGTAAGATAAACCACAGACATCAGCAATATACCTATTCCAGCTATCCTTATATATACATATCAATTTTGTTCATTTAAAAAAAATACAAGATAACAAAAATAAATATATAAACTAGACAGCATAGAGAAAAATTTTCTCTTTTTATAGAACATTTCCCAGCTGCCCACCCATATGCTGAGCTGTCCCTTGCTTATATGTATATGAACTTTTGCCTTCCTCACATAAACACTGAATTTTGTGAAATTTATTTCTCTGTAACTTACTTTTCCAACAAACATTATTGAAATCTCTTAAACAGATTTCTCATTGTTGTTGTTTATCATTGTTGAAAGACAGACCTATTTACGGAAGTAACTCACACAGTTCTGGAAGCTGGCAGGTCGGAAAAATACTTCCACAGGAACCTTCAGAATGGAGTAACCACAAGAAAGCTAGAGTGGCTAAA